TATGACCTGTAGCTTGATTACTAGGTCTTTGATTCTTTGAAATCTGTCGTTTGGTAATGAAGCTTTGTCTGTTTCCGCATTTAGTTGCACACTTATGAATTGTATTGACCGCAATGGTTGCAGGATTGACTTTGTCTTGTTAATTAATAGGCCCAGGGACTGAAAGCATACTATGACCAGGGATGTACTGTGATGGGAATCTTCCTCGGATTTTGCTTTGATGAAGCAATTGTCCGGGTAAGGAAAAATGATAATACTTTGTTTCCTTAACTAAGCAGTGACAACTGTCAGCATTTTCAGAAAGATTCTCAGTGCCGTGGAAGGTCCAAATGACAGGACCATATATTGGTAATGGTCGGAACCTAGGATGAAACAGAGAAAGCATCTGTGGGTGGCACAAAACACTGCATGAAAATAAGTGTCCTGCAAATCAAGGGACAAAAACCAGTCCCTCTGCTCCAGTGCTGGGATGATAGTAATCTTTGCCTTTTTACATATTGATTGAAGACTCTTGACATCTAGGATAGGACACCAACCCCCGTATTTTCTATATGAGAAAATACTGGGAATAGAACCTTCTTCCTCTGTATTCATGGGGGACAGAGTCTATGGCACCCAGCTGAAGGAGGTGTTTGGATTGTTGGTTCAACAGAAGATTACGAGAATGGTCCCTGAATAGGGCAAGGTAGGTTGTTGGGAGGGAGGGACAGAAGTAAAGGAGATGGTATATCTCAATCAGATCATTTGGAGAACCCATTTATCTGGCATTATAGACTGCTTTTTGGTGTACAAAGGCAGCAGATGATTACTGAATGGCTTATTAAAGCATGGTGACCCTGGAGTGGGTCGAGAGTTTCAGGCCCTTGACAAGAACCTGCAAATCTACTTATTTTGCTGGGGTGGATGGTTTGCCGAGTTCATTTGCATGTGTCTGCACTGATGTTCCTTGACCACACTCTTGGTGGTGGTGATGATCTTGCTTTTGGTGCTGGTAAGTGTACTGTGGCTTGGGATATAGCTGATATCTGTATTGTCGTCTCCTGGTTGCAGGTGTGTGTCTCCCCAAAGAGTGAAGCATTGCTCTTGAGTCCTTCATAGAATGAATAACGTCATTGGTCTTGATGGAGAAAAGTTTTTCACCCTAAACTGGAAGGTCTTCCACAGTTGATTGTACCTTGCGGGGAAAAGCTGTGGAGTTGAACCACGAGGCTCATCTCATAACAACTGCGGTGGCTGTGGATCTTGTAGTCATGTCTGCCATGTCAAGAGCCACCTGTAGGGCTGTTCTTGAAATTGTGTGTCCTTCCATGATGACCGTCTTAAATTGGTGGTTCCTTCTACGATGACTGCCTTAAATTGTTGGTTTTTTGCCTCTGAGATGTCCTCAATAAAAGTGTTAAGCTTTGAGTAGTTGTTGTAATCATATTTACTGAGTAATGCCAAGTAGTTTGCTATTCTAAATTATAATGTCGATGGTGTGTTCACTTTTCTTCCAAATAGACATAGTAAGAGACTGGACCTGTCAGCTAGGGTAAAGCAAGATTGCTGTTGTTTATTCCTCTGGTGGGTCTCCTCCACCACCAGCGTGTTTGGGAGGGCAGAGATGGGTAAAGAAGAATTTGGAGCCCTCGGGAGGGATGTAATACTTTCTAGCCACCTGTTTACATGTGGGTGGAATTGTAGCCAGTATCTGCCAGATTGTCTTGGCAGGGTCCATTATCACCGGGTTTATAGACAGGGTGATTTTCGCTGATGGGGCAGTTTGAAAGATATATTCATGTTGACTCTGTTACCTCCTCCATGGTGATACTAAGGTCAGCTGCCACTCTTTCAAAAAGGTCTTGTAATGTTGTCAGTTGTCATTGGTGGTGGTGGCATCACTGCCTCATCAGGGGACGATGATGAATTCGTAGTAGGGATGTAATAGTATAGTCGATTAACATATTAACTGATAAGCAAAAGCTTATCGGTTAATACTATAGACTACACACATTTCTCCCCCTTCTCCCCACCAGTAAATTTTTTAGCAGGTTGGTCAACAGCATGGCTCAGTCCTGACTTGTGCCAAGTCCAGGACCTACCTCCGCTACTGCTCTCCATTTAAAGTGTACTAGGAGCCAGGCAGGCAGGCAGCCAAGCTCAGATCTGGCTTGCACCGGATTCAGGAGCTCAGACCAAGCTCGGGACAGGGGCTGCTGCCAACCCATGCTGCTGCCTCTGTAAGAACATAAGAACGGCCATATTGAGTCAGATCAAAGGTCCATCTAGCCCAGTATCCTGTCGTCTGAGAGTGGCCAATGCCAGATGCTCCATGGGGGTGAAAATAATAGGTAATCCTCACGTGATCCTTCTCCTGTAGAAACAGAAGCAAGGGACACCATTCCTACCCATTCTGGCTAATAATCATTGATGGAGCTAATCTCCGTGAATTTATCTAGCTCTTTTTTTTGAAGCATATTAAAGTCCTGGTTTTCACGAAATCCTCTGGCAAGGAGCTTCACAGGCTGTGTGCTGCATGAAGAAAAACTTCCTTTTGTTTGATTTCAACTGGCTACCTATTAATTTCATTTGGTGACCCCCTAGCTCTTATATTAGGGGTACAAGTAAATAACTTCTCTTTATTCACTTTTTCCACACCAGTCATGATTTTATAGACCTCTATCATACCCATCCCCCCCTTAGTCTCCTCTTTTCTAAGATGAAATGTCCAAGTCTTTTTAATCTCTGAATGGGACCTATTCCAACCCCCTAATCATTTTTGTTGCCTTTTTCTGAACTTTTTCTAATGCCAATGTATCTTTTTTGAGATGAGGCAACCACATCTGAACACAGTATTCACGATGTGGGCATACCAGAGGCAATAGTGCAGGGTGACAAGCAACTGGTACGCGAGGAGAACTGGTTTTTAAACTGGCACCCTGCACAGACCAACTCCCGCCTGGACCCCTCACTGCTGCCTCTGACAGGCGGCAGCACAGGGTGGCAGGGGGCTCCCTGGGATTGTGGGCCTGGAGTGCACTGTCTGCCAGCCCCACCCCTGGGGAGTATAGACTAGTCAATTAACCAAGAATTCACGAGGTTAATTGAATAGTTGATTAACCAATATTTAACATCCCTAATTCATATCAGGCGATGTATCTGGCCCTGCTTGCTGTGATTGTGGATCCTGAGCTGCCCTCCAGGTGGGATGGTGATGGAGATTGTGGTGGCGGAGAGGGAGCAGGTTGGATTATGCGCTCCTTAATGTGTTTCTGCTTGTAACTGTAACCCCATGGGCTTCAGTATTCCCGGTGTGCCACATATGGCATGGTGGTGGCATCCATGGATATGGTCCCCATGGTGGGATATGCCTGTCTAATAGGAATCTCAAACTGGCATGAGCAGATGGTATGGAGACTTCCATGCCAGGGGACAGTTGAGGTAAGAAAGTTATCTAGCAATGATGATGATAACGGGGATATAACTCAGTAGGCGATGTACGGTGTTTCAGTGCTGCTGCACCGGCTGAAGTGTTGGTGCTTAGGAAAGGTGACTTGAATGTGGAGGGGACAAGTAAGTCCCTCTGATGCGGATACCTTGGTGCTGGAGTGGATAGTGCTGTGGTTGTCTGCACCATGATCTGTACCAATATCATCATCATGGATGGATATAGTGCTGACTGATGCATTAAAGATGCCACATGTGGTGTGGATGGCTGTTGCGGTGCCTTTGAGTAGTTCTCTGCACTGATGTGGTTGTACCATTACTGCTCGGTACCCTATTGGACACTGAGCTCTATGACGCAGGCATACTCAAGCCTGTTGCTTCAGCACAGGTTCTCTGCACTACGTGCTTGTCATGTGCTCAGTGCCGATTTCATTATTGTGCACTGTTTCGGTGATGGCACTTTGTCTGATGAGGCACACTTTCTGGGTGGTTTCTTCCTTTGGTTTGGGGATTTTCAATCGCTTCAGTGCCTGGATCAGAGGCTGGATGTTGGGATTTCACCAGCATGATTAGTTTGAGGTGGGGGTCTCTGTCTCTGTGGGTTCATGCTTTCAGTTTGACACAATAATGGCGATTTTGCAGGACATGAGATTTCCCCCAGACATCTGATATGTTTAGAGTAGAGTACCCATCCAATACAGATATAGCATCATTGCAGATGGGGCAATGTTTAAATTCTGGAGAACCAGAATCTGAAACTTAGTTATGCCCAACCAACAGCAAATGGGAAAACACTTTGGGGAAGAAAAGTTTGGGGTGTGTTTTTTTTTTTTTTTTGAAGGAGAGAGAACGTGGATCAAACAGGAAGTCGATGAAGAAAAGAACTAGGAACAAGCTATTTATCTATAGGACCTATCAATGGTAAGTGAAGAGCACTGCTGAGCTGTCTCAAGCTGGGAACAGTAAGAAGGAATTGAAGGGAGGGAGGCTATGCATGCATGGTCACGACATGCTGGAGCCACATGGCATGGGCACTGCACATGCATGACCCCTGAGGCACTGCTGTAAAGACTCCAGTTGATGGCATTGGGACACACCAACACCTACTATGGAGCACCCAAAGGGACATCTTTCAAAGAAGAACTCAGATTTCATCTGAAGGGAGATTATTAAAAAAGCTAAATAAAACAATGTGGGTCACTTTTATATTTGACTAGATTAAGAGAAATCTACTATTTAAAAAATCCTCCTTTATCATCCATCATGCTGTGAGTTCAGTTTCTCATTAACAATCAACATTTTTTCATAATGAAAAATAGTGATTTCAGCTTTCCCTAGAATGTTTTAGCTTAAAATGCAAAATGCCTCACTTTGGCCCTGGTCCTAGATGCACTTAGATCTTTGAGTAACTTTTAATGCTCTTTTAGCGAAACAGGAGGACTTGTTACTCATGTGCTCCTGTGCTTGCAAGAGCTTGGGAAACGTAAGTAAGTAAAACAATGTCAAACAAATTTAGAATTAAATTTGGACACATCACAATGCTTTTCATATTCCAAGTTATCTAAAGAAATGTATAAAGCAATGAACTAGAAACAGGAAGTTCAGGGACTTCAAAAGTTTATTGAATAAATCAATCAATATATAATTCATAACATTGTGATCTGATCATATTTAATATGTGCAAACCTTTTACACACTATTGGGAGGAGAGAACAGGTAATATTTGACAATCAACCTAAAAGTCTTCCATGTTTGCCTCACAATGCCACTACATATCTTTACAAAATCTTTACATACATTCAGACAAGTTTATGGGGATTTTTCACACCTATATCACTTCACCATCACCACATGCATGTTCTGAATACAACAGGCCAAAATGACAGATTGTGCTTCTTCAGAAGCTAACCAAATAATGTAGCTGTGATTTTTATGTGATAGTGCACTTACATTCTTTAGCTTGAAATACTGTGGTGGGATTTTTATATATAATAAACATACATGCTGGCTCTCTCAGCAATCTTTCAGCAACATGAAGCTCTATGCAAGAGAAATGCTCTGTCATCTTTATTTTTTTAAAAGAAAAAAAGCTGTCAGCTCAACTTTTACTGTTAAATTCCAAGTGTATAATGGTGGAACACATGGTGGTCTGAACAACAATATGAATTACTGCACTCCTCCTTCAAGGACTTAATTAGTTCAAAACAGCCTCTCACTGCTGTTCTCATGTGCTGCTGTGGAATAATATTAGACTCACAGTATGCCCCGAATAGAGTTTTCTTAAGTGGTGATTGGGAAACGGAGCCATATACAAGCCATCTTCCAATATTTTCTAACAGTAAAATTCTTAGAAGTGGCTAAAATGGGAAATTTCTTCATTCATACCTTGAGCACTCTGATTTTTTAATTATTAAAAAACACTCCAAAAGGAAAAGATTCACATTATCAGAGGCAAACTGGCTTTAAAAAAATTAAATACTTTGGTGATTTATTATAAGTTGTTTAGTCAGTCTGCTTTACAGTTTGTTCTTATCAACCATACACATTCTTTGCATTTTAAAAACAGTTAAAGTAATCAAAACTTTACAAACAGCTAAAAATACACCCATGCTAGTGAATGTATTACATGCAGCATAAGGTAGAGCATTGCACACTTAGTATAGTGATTTACGAAGACCATGTACTGGTTAACGTCCATATTCACTCTTTTTGTCATTAAGACTTACATTATATTTGGGTCAACCAAAAAACCCAAAGAGATTTTATAAAATTTTACAACAATTAAACAAGTAACGTTTAATTCTACAAATGGATAAAGCAAACTACTGTAGCTCAATAGTACACCAACAGGACTAGTAGTAGTCAAATAATCTATGTACACAAGCTACTACAATACTAAATACCATGTGATATTTACAAAAACATTAAGTAACGTCAGGTAACATTCCAGAAATACATGTAGTTTATTCCAAAGCATTATTCAGTTGCCTAGTAAACTGAAGGTAATGTAATTTTTAGTCATAAATTACATAAAAGTAAAATAGCTGGAGAACACAAAGACCAGCAAGCTAGGGAGCCCTGGGGTGAAAACCTGGCCCTATTGACATCAGTGGATCAGGACTTCACCCAATTTTATTTATCTATTTTTTGCTGTTCTTTATCTAGGACTACGGTAGTCTTTGGAGTTTTTTTCTTTTTAAATATATACTCTGGAATTGTACTATTACACAAATTTAAAAGTGTATTTAAATATTGTGCTCTCAAAAAGAGCATTTATACAAAATCATATTTACAATAAGACACTGATGATCATGTATATCTTGAGATCAACTCTTCTGTGTTTGAAGAAATCTAAGCTTAAATACTGAAGGTTAAGGAATGTCAGTGTTTTGAAGTAGCATTTGAAGATATATTAAAACATGGATCACTGGATGCTGTAAGTTAAATTAGCTGATCAAGAGACACTAAACCATGTTTATAAATTATTACTTTTAGGAGCAGGAATAAGTTACAAGCAAAAATTCTGTAGACAATTTCTTCAAGACTTTATCCCCCCGCCCCCATTTCTACACAATGTAAACATTCTTGGCTTATGTTAGAAGAAGTGCCTTAGAGAAAGGTTTTGTTGGACTGATACTAGGATTCCTTCCTAATAAATACAAGGCCCTGAAGAAGACTGAATTTACTAGCAGGTTAAAGTCAGTGAAAGAGTTAATTAACTACACAATTCCTATAAGATAACATTATCGCCATAAACCATCCAAAATCTTATGCAGCAACCCCTGCTCAGTGTTACAAATAAAGGATGCTGAGATACAGGTCTACAAACCCTCTTGCAAGAGTTTGTGTAGTGGGGGAAAAGAAAACACTTTTCTACATACACATTTAATTCCATGCAAGATGGAAAGTGTGAGTACACAAGCCTTATTTTAAACCTAAATTATACATGTATTATTAACCTGTTAAGAATAAAGCAGGGTCTACAGCAGTTAAATTGTTACAGTTCTATTTATAAACACGTGCAAATGAGTAACAATTTTTACATAAAATTCCTTTGCAAGAATGTATTTGTTTAATAAACAGACTAAAGATAACTTACGTAATAGTATGCTTTTATGTGTACACACAATATCTGTGCACACTCTAATAAAGTGGATTTGAAAAGTTGTCCTTGTTTGTCTATAAACTACAAGTGCCCATTTAAAATAAAAAGATCCATAATTACCCATGGGCTACTTCCCTGTGACACACAGTGTCACAAACATTGTGGTGAAAATGCAATATTGAAGTTAATCTAGAGATGGTTTTTGTACATTTTTTTATACAATCAAGAAAAAGAGATACAATTTGTATCAACAAACAAAAGGTCATTTCTGGTTATTTGAGGCATTACTCTCAGCTGCTTTTACGATAGAAGAGAATATGAAGTAAGAGGAAATTAAAAAAATATAAAATGCTAGTTAAGGTATGTTTCGAAAGTTGGTCAGGAGTAAAAATATTTTTCTATAGCTATATGCTAACTTTTTGAAGATTAGTTTATTTTTATTAATAGCAATGATCTGCAGCTAATTAAACAATTATTTTTTATACTCTGGGCACGAAGAAAACAATCTTTAAGTCATTGCAATTTGAACACACAATGATATGGCCAGGACAAAATATGTAAGTAGTCTGAGAAGTACCTGTGGGGACGCTAGAATACATATCATGTGTGAAATGATGTGAACATCCAATTTACTAATACATTTACTTAATTGCATCTGTAACTTTGTCACATTTTGCACATGATAAACAGCCCACAAGAGACACTTAGATTTAATGCAGGTTTTACAGTAGCAAGTGGAAGTAATGATGTAGTAGTCTTTGGTCCTCAGACAAACAGAACTAGAAAGCAGCATGCAAGCCATTATCAAAACACCAGAAACAACCCTGACTGCAGCCTCACGTTCTGTGTGTTTCACAGTAAGAAACATTTAGGCAGTGTCACACCTTCTCATGAAGAAACAAAAGGCCATAAACCAGGCCTTCTCAACTTTCATGAAAAAAACTACAGTAGAAGTCAACAAGTCCTAGCTCGAGATATATCGAGTTAGTAATGGTTCAAAATGTTGAAATATACATTGATTCAAAAAGGGCGTCCATTCAGTGCAGCTTAAAAAAAACCAATAAACGCCTCTTCTGGAGGCATTTAGCTACAAAGTTCCCACCCCTGAGCAAAATATTAGTTGCGCAATCAATGCCGCACACAATTTTTTTCTTGCCTGTCAAAATAAAAGCTTTAAAAGCTTTCAGGAGGAAAATGCATACCTTTGGGTCAATCTGAAGTACAAAGTAGGACAGGGGTTGCAGCAAGCCAAAGATGTAGCATCCCTTTTCAGAACCAGCTCCTCTCCCCTTTTAAACACCAGCCACACTGTCCTTAGCCACAAAAGAAGGGTTGCAGTTTCTACTAAACTGAATATTCACATATTAATATCTACTACCTTCCTTCCCACTTGAAGGGAAGTAAAATGACAGTCTGCAGTTGACCTTAAAATGTACTATCAGTACGTCTGAAGAGGAAGGCTACAGTTTATCATATTTTTAACACTGAATTGGGACTCAATTCTGCAAGTTGCTGAGCTCTCTGGCTCCAATCCAGCAAAGCATTTAAGCAAGTGGTGAACTGGGACCAAAATGCTCAGCACCTTACAAGATCAAGCCCTGGGTGGATAAATTTAAAGGCTAAGAAATACCAGTTATGTTGACATTTAAAAGTGAAAAAGGGACTAGATCAGGTTTGTTTTACAAACTGATGATTATTTTAATTGTGGGCAAATCATCCTTTTAAAAAAAGATTTGACACAGAGGAATGCAGTGTCAAAGCGGAAGTCTTAATGATCCCGGAATGTACAGAGCATATTTTGAAAAGCCAATTATATATTTATAGTCAGATTGAAACTACACATTGTTACATGCAATATAATTGCTAACAATAATTTTGAATGTACAGCTTTAGACACTAAAAATGTAACCTCCTTGTTCTTAGTTAAATAATATATTCATGCAAAAAGGTATGCACTTCCTGTAAAATACTTTTAAAATACCCTAGTTTTGAAATCCTAAAATATTCATTATATTTACAATACAATCTGTATATAGTGTCTCTCACATATATTTAATGATTGCTATAGGGCACAGAATTTTATGACAGAAAATATTTACAACAGATTTGCCCACTTCTCTTATTTTTAACTTTTCCTCCAGATTCTGCTCACTATACACTCAATACTATTTGTCTTTAAGTGTTCAGAAAGAGGCTCTAACATTTTAACGCCCTGTTCTCAATTTGGCAACAATCATAGCTGCCAGCTGTTGTGCATCTGTCATGTGGGGATTTTTCTCCATTACCGAGAGGACAACACCAGCAGGGAAAATATTGCAGAGATTCTTGTATGTCTGATATTGATGTTCTGGAATGATATGCTGTTCCTGTGGCTCCCCACATACCCCAATCCAGGGGTTCCTCCACAGCTGCTCCATCTTCTCAGGCATGCTTCTTACCATTACAGGTTCATAACATGGTTGCATGAGATTGTTACTCAGAGGATAGGAGTGGTAAGCGTAAGTATCAGCAGCACATGGTAATGGATCCCAACTAGCATGCTGTTCTCGACAGAGAGGTGGCCTTCTCTGCCGCATTGGATTACTTTCATAAAGCCGTGAGTCAGAAATACTGTCCATTCTTGTCATGACCAAGGCACGGCTTGGCTGTGCAGTGGCTGATGGATGAACATTCTGAGGCACTGGGTAGTCTCCTGGACAACTGGATCGTGCTCCTACAACTGGATGCTGGACATGGAGTGCTAAATGGGAAACAGACTGTTTGCGTGGGAGTTGTTTAGGCTCTTCAGTTCCATAACTCTGAACTCTAGTTAAGGCTTCATGGTAACCATGGGAAAAAGGCTGAAGACGATTTTGGGATGAAAGTCTGTGGACCTTCACATTGTCTTCTGGTCTGGCTTCTGCTACACCCAGATACAAATCATTGTAAGAGGAATAAGAATCATTGCTTGTATGGCTTAAGCGATTGTCAGGACAGGGGCTTGAATTTCTAGAGTACATCCCCTGGTCTGCATCAGCCCCATAGTAATCTGTGTTTCGCATGCTGCTTATGCTCAAATTGGAAAAATCACTGAGCATGGAATAATAGCCATGGTCCCCTAAAGATTCATATTTAGGATACTGGTCTGTATAGCTAACAGAAGTGCCATGGCTATTGGTGACTAGTATTGGAGGATACTGCACACTGGCCATGTGTTCTAGTGAGGATTTCTGATGAGTAAATTGTGATGATCCAGGTACAGGACTGCTTGCAGAACGAGTATTTAATGCACCAACAGCATGGCTTTTTGAAGGAGGGATTGTTGGTACGCTTAGTGCGGAAACAAGAGAAGGGACAGAATTGGCTTCTGACTTCCGAGCTACCGACAGCCTTTCCTCAGGTTCCACAGCAACTGATCTAATGCTTGGGTCTGACTGGCGTTTGGGGGCAATGCGTTTCACTTCAGAATTGATTTCTCCTTTGGAAATGGATGATCCTGTGCCACATTTGGCCAAAGCTCCCTCACTCATAGTTTTCACAGCAGACAATTTGGCACTTATTCGAAGCTCATCCGCTACTGACCTTTGAGGCTGATTTGCGCGTTCTGGGTGGTAATATTTACATTTGTGTCCATAGGTGCATTTTTTACCTGCAAAAGAAGCCTCCAAATTAAATACGTCAAAAACAATTGTACAGAAAGCTGTATTACAGTAAGCTAAAAAAAAATCTGTAACCCACAACCTCCCTCTTTTTGCTCAATGCCTATAGAGGTATTAAATCAGCCACTCTACCTAGAATAGTCTCTTACAATATGTGCTAATACTTAAGCTAAACAATCTGTTCCACCTTGCATTTTATTAGAGACTGGGAGTACCTTTCCCAACCTGAAGAGCTTTGTGTGGCTCAAAGCTTTTTTTCTTTCATCAACAGAAGTTGATTGGTCCAATAAACGATAGTTCCTCACTCACCTTATCTCTCTAAGCTAAAGATTCAGTGTTCGATGCTGTATTGTTTATAATTACTTTTGGGGTTGTAGAATGAATGTTAATGCTTTGGAAATAAACAAATCAGAAGAGCACAGGCACCAACTTTCATTTTTCTGGGAGAGTGCTCCACGCCTGCTTTGCTGAGGTTCTGCCCCCACTCCATCTTTACCCTGCATCTTCCTGCTCCATCCCTTTTCCAGAGTGCTTTGCTCTCACTCCACCTCTTCCTGCCCCATCCAACCATGCTTCTTACCATTACAGGTTCATAACATGGTTGCATAAGATTGTTACTCAGTGGATAGGAGTGGTAAGCATAAGTATCAGCAGCACATGGTAATAAATCCCAACTAGCATGCTGTTCTCAACAGAGGGGTGGCCTTCTCTGCTGCATTGGATTACTTTCATAAAGCCGTGAGTCAGAAATACTGTCCATTCTTGTCATGACTAAGGCACAGCTGGAGCCGCTGAACAGTTGATCAGCAGATGGCATTATGTGTGTGTTCCAGCACCACAGCATCTGTAGAGTCAGTGCTTAAAGTCTAGTAATCTGGAATTTTGTATGTATATGAGCAGCTACTGAGCATCTCTCCTGCTCACTGCTCAGTTGTGAACCATAGTGCTCTCCCTTACACTATAATTGTTGAGCACTAATAATCTACTCATTGCTGTATAAAACAAAGAAAAGCTCGGTCATAGAACTAATACAGTACAGGACTTCTCCTTTGAGTAAAACTATAAAGAATGGCATGATAGTTTTTTTGGGATATCTCTAGTATCCCAAAGTAGTGCTGCAGTCTAGACATACCTTTAGGTTTCAACTGTGAAGCACTGGGTCCAAATTCATAGTGGATATTTATTCACAATAAAAAACTATTCCGCATCTTTTCAACCAGCCCGTTATTTCAAAATAGATTTTGAAATAATGCTATTCTGACATCCCTGTAACCCTCAATCCACAAGGGTTAAGGAATGTTTCAGACTAGTAGTTTATTTCAAAATTTGAGGCTGTGTAGACAGCACCAAATTTCAAAATAAGCTATTTTGAAATTAGATTGAAATAAGATATGCAAATTGTGTAGCTCAAATTGAATATCTTATTTCGACCTACGTGTGCAGTGTAGATTAGCTATTAGCCTAGACTAGCTATTCCATGTTTTAAAAGCAAGACCTTTGAATCGAAATATAACGGGCTTGCTATTCTAACGTCCCTGAAACCCTCATTGCATGAGGAATAAGGGACGTTTCAGAATAGCACTTTATTTCGAAATAACGTGATAAATAAGCTACACAATAAGCTTATTTTGAGGTAAGGGTGCTGTGTAGATGCACCTTTAGTGACTTCACCTTTTGAACTGGTTTCCGATCTCTAATGCTCTACTTTTTTTTTTTAAAGAAACAAAGAAAATAGACACTAGTGTCCAATCTGGATGCTAGCAAGTAAAACAAGCCAGGTTTTGATTTTTAAAAAATTGAGCAAAGTCTAATTATAATACATCAGCTTCTTATTCAGTCTCCCTGACACACAGAGCTCAGTCTGACTACTGTAAACCTACCATAAGGGCATGGTTGTTTTTTATGTTCAGGAATAACAGGCCTTTTTCTGAGGAAGTTTTCAAGGCTTGGACCATGGCGTCCTAAAGGATCATCAGGAGGCATAAATCTGGGGGAAGAAACAGATGAAATGTGAATTTTAGTTTCCATGTGACCTTTAAATGTAAATTCCACAATATGAAGAAAGAACATACTTGTCATTCACAAAAGAATACATTAGCAGGCGTTCCTCTATGAATTTCTTCCATTCTGGCTTTTCATTCTGAAGATCCCGATAATTATCATTTGACACAATGATGCCATCTGAGTCAAAAGCCAGTTTTACTATAAACCGGTCATCATAACAGACCACCCTTCTTCCCTGGACTCGCCGAGATGGGGTGAAGACAAGAATTTTTTCTTTCTCCAATTTACGTAAAATTTCTTGATCTGCAAGATAAGTTCAGATGATTTAAATAATTTCATTAAGAAACAAGCCACTTCAAGTTTTTACTAAAAAGCGTTTTTATTTGTTGTTTATATTAGAAAGGGAGTTAAGTAGTTCAGATTAACAATACTATTTTCCACTAAATATGCTAAGATAGTATACTCTTCGGGGGGTAATGTAAGCATGTAAAAACCTAGACTTAAATAGCACTTTTCTTCCAAGGGTTTCAAGGCACTTTACAAAAAAATTGAGGCCTCACACCCACTCCCATTCCATCTGCACTGTACTATCAACCTGATATTCCTGGCTCAATGAACACATGCAAATACTGCGAGACAAAGTCTATGTTTGCTCTACATAACCAACCAAGGATTCCACCTCTGTCAGAGGAATCCTGAGCTGCTTGGCCACTAAATCAGATGGGGGACACGCCAAGAGCCTATCCTTATATTCCTAAAATCCTTGTCATGGGGAGGAAACATTAATATTTCTCTCCACAACACAGAATGTGTTCTAGGAGTACTTGAAAAACTTGTATCAGTCCTACTTGCAGATACTTACAATGGCCTTTAACTAGCAAAAATCTGTTAGTTTCAATTTGAGTGCTGAGCCATCCTCCACTTAAAAGGAGACTATTTCAATAGTGACGTGTACTTTGTGAAGCTATTGTGTCTTTTGGGACGAAAGATAAAATACTGTTATACTGAATTAACATTGCCTCAAATTATTTTCTCCATGCTTAGGATAATCTTTTTTAACAAAGTAACAATATTTTTCCTACAGTAAATGCTACAATCTTGTAATAACACAACTATTTTACCACAGCATGAAAGTAATCGTTTTGACGTTCTACCTGTAATTGGTGCATCAGGTCGAGACTGCTCTTTTCTCCATGCAGGAACAAACACAGTGATATCTTTGTGTCCTTTCTCCAGAAACCACTCAACAGCTAGCTGAATCCCCCGACAGGAAAATTCTTCTTTATTTCCGTGGCTTAAAAATATGGCAAAGTATTCATTTAAAATAGGATAAGAAAGAGTTAGCAAATGACAACCAAGAACTAGCTAATGATGCTTACTTCTACAATATATGCATTTTATAATAACTATACACAAAAGGAACAAGTAGCAGATTTTGCCAAAAATTACTCTTTCTGGAAATGATTTTTTGTAAAGGGAAGGAATTCTCAGATTATATAGTTTACTGTTAGTGAGTCTGATAACTTTCTGATAACTGCTTAAAATCAGTCTTTAATACTAGCCTAGTATACAGTGGTACTACAAAATTCTGAGCAAAATTTAAAATAGCACTTGAACATACTTGATAAAATAACTTGGCTTTTGAGTCACCAATTGCCACATACTTACTAACCATGACAGGCTTTTTACAAATCAGGGTATGTCTAGACTACAGTGCTTTTCCGGGATACCGAAAAAGCTCTGCCATATCCAAGGAACTCATCTGCTTTCTCCCGCCTTCCCCCCCAAAAAAGGCAGATGCTTTTTTTTCGGCATCCATGTAAACCTCATTTAAGAGGAAGAAGGGATGTTCCGAAAGAGGGGTTTTTTTCTGACATTTGGTCCCGTGTAGACATTTGGCTCTGTAAAGAAAAGTCACTTTCGGAAGAAAAGCAGAAAAAGATACGCAAATTGCATATCTTTTTCCAACTTTTCTTTGTAGTGTAGACACAGCCTCAGAGCTGTAAGCCTAAACATTCCTCATTTAGGGCATGTTTACACTAGGAAATCATTCTGAACTAACTCCTGAAATAACTATTTCAAAATGATATGTCCACACTACAGGGGAAGCCTTGGAATTAGTCCAAGGCAGGCTCCCTTAATGTGGATGTGCTACCTCGACTTAGAGCCCCAGGGAGCACTGGGGAATAATTACTTGGAATGACTCTGGGGAGTAGTTATTTCAAAATAGTAGTAGAGAGTCCACACTATTGCTATTTCAAAATAAATATTTCGAAATAAGCAGGAGTTGTTATTTCGAAATAACCAGCCTGTTATTTTGAAGTAATGGGCTTGGGAGTGTGGACGCTCCACTTGTTGAAATAAGGGGAGTTATTTCAACATAACTTCCTAGTGTAGGCTTTCCCACAAAGCCTGCACCTTCCAAACTCACAATGATTGTTTAGGGCACACACAGGTAGCCACAAACTCCAAAGGTAAACAGTCAATTGAAATTAATGCAGTATTTAGAAATTTAGTTGGGTTATTAAGCAGCAATCAAATAATAATGAAATGCTATTAATTTCACCAGTTCCTGAAATACTGACAACTAATGCTACTTTGATTCTCTCATTAACCAATACTGACAATTAAGATTACATAGCTGGGCAATACACTTTTTACCTTAGAAAATCAGTATTTCATTACAGAGCTACACAACTGCAAAGATAAAACTTGCTATTAATGGCACAGCTTTTATTTTCATATTCCAACTACTACTTCATGGTACAGTATATTGACTTATAAAACAGTTATGGTGTATTGTCAAAATTTATATTTGGGCCTTTGCCCAGTCTCTATATACATAAACCTTTTGTACACATCAGGGCCAGGTCACAATATACAGCTGTATGAAGATTTCAGATAGATCTGTGAGGTTCCAGAAATCTAGACAGGCCCCAAGCACTGCCTAAATTATGATGGGAACTTCTTAACCCAAAAGCACCCGAGGACTGGGAAACCTCATTCCATGAGGCATAACAGAGCAGTCAACAAAGGCTTCTGTTGTCGACCATGGAACATCCAGACTACCATGCTGTGCTGCCAAACAGCTGATCGGCACAGCACAGCAGCTATTTTGATGTAAATGAAGCAGTGATTATTTAAATCACCACTTCATTTTCCTATGTCTAGTAAACTCATCAACATGGCTCCGTCGACGGAGCCAGGTAGTCTAGACATATCCAAAGTGTGGAGGAGGGAGCAAGGGGTATTTAAGACTTGTGGGGGAGGGAGCAGATGGAAGATACATACATTAAGTTTTGTATATTTTTAACACTACATCCTGGAGTTATGGAGGGAGTGACTGCAAGGGGTGCAACTAGTGTTATTCATTTTCCTGAAGGAGAAGGACAACAGTGATCACTCAGCTTTAAGAAGTTCTGGAACATGAGTTAAATCCAGGGAAAATAGGTACTAGCTAAAGAAGTCAGTTAATCATGTTCTATCTTCTGCAAACAAATGAGACAGTATGCACTGAAATACACACCTTGCCACTTCTTTGTGCACCACACTTGGAAACACACTTCAATCAATGTCTTGAAAACAAACTGTTCTGAGAAGATTTTTTTTATTTTTGCATAGGTGTGTTGTCGAATATCACACTGGCTTTATACATTATTTAATTTAATTAGTATTAAAGTTTCATGAAACTGGTTTTTGGGGAAGGAATAAAGGAATCTGTTTATGAGCTACCTCTCTGAATCTTAATCTTTGATAAAGGTTAAATGAAAGACGAAGGCAACTATTATAAATGAATTATAAAAAAACTCTTAAAGACATCCTCTTTCATGCTCAAATGTAATACAACAGAATCTCAGTTATGAATGCCTTTGGAATGGAGTTTGATCAAACTCGCAAATGTTCAAAACTCTGAATAAAATGATATGATTGTTCTTTCAAAAATTTACAAATGACCACTGACTTAACACAACTTTGAAACTTTCAGAAGAAAAATGCTGATTTGAATCAACTTAATTTAAATGAAACAAGCACGGAGACAGTTTCCTGACTTGGTCAAATGTTTTTCTTTAAAACTTTTCCTTTATTTTTAGTACTTTATGTTTAGCACAGTACTCTTTTTTTTGTTTTGTTTTGGTTTTTTTGGACTTTGTTGCTGCCTGATTGTGTACTTCTGATTTCAAATGAGGTTTATGATTGACCCATTAGTTCATAATTCTGGTATTCATAACTCTTGAGGTTCTACTATATAAAGAAACAGATGTTTGCATGTGGTCTGTTTTACTACTATTTCTGGTTAAGTTCTCTAATTCTGACTAGACACCATTGAATAGTGCCAACATTTGGAGAAAATATTAGACCAAAGCTAAACATCCGAATGTTAATCCTATGCAAAATCATATTCCCCCCTCCCCCCCAAAAAAAAAATGAAAATCTACTTGTAAATAGCTTGCTGCACAGGGACCAGCAAAGGGAGTCTAAGGACCAAATTCAGCTCCTCAGAGTATTTAAATTGGGAGTTGCTGCTACTTTTACAAGGACAGAATATGACATTAAATAGGTAATTTATTTGGCAGTTTAGCTACACTGACCAAAAAACAAAACAAAACATGAAAAATATGTACTATTTTACTTTTTACCATGTGTTGATTAAAGGGACAGTCTCAATTTGAAAATATTATTTCTATCTGAACTGGTCTTTACCAGTGATTCTCAAACTTATTTAATCAGGTCTCCCTTCTTCATGTTTGTAGTTATTTACAGCTCCTCTTCCCCAAAGAGAACATATAAAACCATTCAGCTTGCCAGGCACACCAGACAGCAGGGGCTGCTGGACAAGCACACAGCTCTGAAGGCAGCACTGCATCAGCATCAGTGCAGAAGTAAGGGTGGCAATGTGAAATGTGACAGTGACAAAAGTCACTTTTCACTGTAGACTTAATACCCTATTGCTACCCTTACTTCTGCACTGCTGCTGCCACTCCAGGACTTACAACTAGAGCCTCTCCCTACCTCCTTGTGAAGGACTGAGGGGATGGGGAGAGGAATTAGAGCACGACCTGGGATTGTGCAGGAGAGGGAAGAAGAGCAAGGCCTAGTGGCAGAACTCCAGTTGTTTCCTTTATCTTCTCTCCCTGCCTTCTGAGAGGGCACAGCCCTTCTGCAAAAGCCCCTAGGCCTGATAGCAGGTGCTCTTAATAAAGGCACACCATGTGTGCCTCCCATAACACATTCCTGTGCCTTCCATGGGAGGTGCATCTCATATTTTGATGACCACTGGCCTATATACACACGACTATAATTTCAATTAGGGGTATGGGGTTTTTTACATTGGTTCAAACTCTAACGTGGTCACAGTTCCAATGATATAAAAAGCACCTTATAACAGTAAAGTATATTCCACATCTTATAGAGAAATACCAGTATAAACACCTTTATATCAATATAGCCATATCCATACGCATCATATAGATGAGGCTTTATACTCCCTATTGCAGTGGTCTCCAACCTTTTTAAGCACAAGATCACTTTTTGAATTTAAGTGCAACCCAGGATCTACCTCAAACCCAAATAACCTTGCCCCCACCTCCTTCGTGCCTCTTTTCCAAGATCTTGCCTCTGCTCACTACATCCTCCTCCCTTTCACCAGGCCAGGGGCAGAGGGTTGGGGCACGGGCTCTGGATTTGGGCTAAGAGATTTGGAGTGTGAGAGGGGCTCTGAGCTAACCCTGGGGCAGGGAGTTGGGGTGCAGCAGGGGGTTCAGGGTACAGGCTCTGTGAGAGAGTTTGGATCCAGGGGGCTCAGAACTAGAACAAGGCCTGGGGTACAGAAGGAGGTTCATGCCTGGAGCAGGGGTTCGGAGCTGGCTCCATCTGGACATTGCTTACCTCATGTGGCTCCTGGTTGATGGTGCAGTGGGGCTGAGGCAGGCTGTCCTGGCCCTGCACCACTTTCAAAAGCAGCCAGCAAATTCCCTCCATCTCAAGCCCTGTTGTGCCCCCGCATTCTGTGACGATAGACTATAGGCTAGGAGAGGGGCACCCTGACATCAGCACCCCTTCTTCTCCCTTCCCTGCTCTGAACTGCAAGCAGGATGCTCCCCGTGGTAGAGGGAGGCAGTTCCAAGGCAAAGGACAGAAAATGCACTGCAGTGGGGGGAGGGGCAGCTGAAGTGCCAGCTCTTGATAGCTTCTTGGCCAACCAGTCAGGATCACCTGTCAGAGGCTTCAAGATCTACAAGTAGATCCCCATCTACTGGTTGGTGACCACTGCCCTATTGTCACAAGTAACACCCAAGATTACCTTCTTAAGTGAAAGTGATTAAAGAAAATATATGGGTTTTTTAAGGTTACTTTGTTTTGCTGATGTTCACAATGGTATTACAGGTTAAACATCTCTAAACTGGGACTCTGGTCCAGCAATATCCCTGGCCCGGAAGGATCACTGATGTCCAAGGATCAGGGAGTCCTGATGGAGGGCGGATGGCTGGTAGCCCTGCAACAGGGCTGGAGCCCAGTAGCAGGACTGCCCTGTGGCAGCGAAACAGGGAATCCAGCAGCAAGGCTGCCACCTGGTGGTAACAATACCCAGGGGAGCGGGATCTGGGGGGGGGCGGCAGGAAGCAGCGGGGTTGCCCAGTGGCGGGGCTAGGAGCCTGGTAGCTCTGCTGTTGTCCAGCGGCACAGTTGCCCAGCAGGACTAAGAGGCAGCAGGTCTGCTCCGCAGGGTCAGGAGCCTGGGAGTGGGGCTACTCAATGGTGATGCAACAAAGAGTCCAGTAGTCCTGCTGCCATCCAGCAGAGCTGCCCAGTGAGGCTGGGAGGCAGCAGGGCTGGAGCCCAACAGTGCACCTGAACCACTGCCCCCATTGGACTGGGACCTGGGCAGCAAGGCTGTGCATGTGGCTGCCATGGTGGGGCCAGAAGCCCTGGGCACAGAGAGGCTGGCAGCAGGGGACGCCAGCCAACAAGCTAGCAGCAAAGCCATGGCTGCACGGTGCTGGTGGTGGTGGTGGAGGGAGGGGACCAGAAATGACACCCCTGGTCTGGCAAAATACCTCAACCAGGACTGGTCAGGTCCCAAGGGTGCTGGACCAGGGAGGTCCAAACCTGTAGTTATGAATTATGCAGCAGAAAGTTCACATGCATGATTTTCCCCAGGTGCTGTAACAATGTTCAGCAGCAAAGCTAAAACTGAGATGTACCAGGGAGATGACAGTACAGGGACAAAAAGGATGGGAGAATACTTGAGCAGAGAAATGTCTGTTTTGTTGTTAAGTGGATCGAATACCCACCTTCAACCAAAAACAGTAAAGACTTTATAAAAAACTTCCCAATGAATTTTTAATATATTTCAAAGCATAAAAAAACTTGTTTTATATAAAGAATTTTCTGAAATTAGGTTAGTTCAAAAAATAGGTTAAGAGTTCTTTAAACAAACTGAGAAGGGAATAATAAAGAATGCCTATTGGACAAACACTGCCTGTAGAAATTTTTACATCAGTGATCTCCACTAAGGAAATACGCTAAGGAATTTCTTCTTGTTTCAAGTGGAACAAGACCAAATATAGACTGACCCTTTCTCAATGGTAAGCACCTTATATTGGGAAAGTACACCCTTAGCTGAGATGACCAGCCATCAAACTTCTTTTAAAACAGTTCTTCTACCCACTCAGCTGTCCAACCTGCCTTTAGATATTTTAGAACAAGATTGGTAAAAATCTTTCAAAAACGTAAAACAAAACCTATGATACAGTAGAACTAAACTCTTATTTATTGATTTTACAGATTTAGGGGAGCAGAGGACTGCAAAAAAGAAAGATATGGAGACAGTTGATTTTTGGGGTAGAGATTGCAAAAAGAGGAATACCAATGTATTTTTAACTGGGGAAAAGAAACCGTAAGTTACACAGGAGCATATAATCAACATAACATGATTTTGTCATTCAAATATAATATTTATATATCAACATACTGGTGAATTATTTAAAAAATGCAAACATTGAGGCCTACCTCATAGCTACATTACTTCCATCAATGACAATTGGTCTTAAGTTGTCAGTGTTATCCACCACTTCATCTTCAAGTGACAGTTCAGGGCTGGCCATTTCCTTTGGGCAAGGACCCCTGGGCACCAGGATACCACTATTACTGCTGACACTTCCTTGTCCCTCTGACTCACCCTTGTTGCCAAGTCTCACAAGTTCTGCCAAAATATCATTGATTAGAGCATCTGCTCCCAACTTATTCAGCACTGCCTGGATCTGATCTCCAGCATACCCAAGCTTTAAAGCGAAGTCCATTTTAGCCTGATATTCCTTGTCCAAGTTTATTTTACACTCTTCCAGCTTGAAGTCCTGAAGGATACTGCTCTGTGAGAAACTTGGACGATCCAGGCAAGGTGAGCGACAGAGTTGCCTATGTGGTTTGGTAGAAATTTCCTTTTCTAGCCACTGAATATTGCTACAGCTATTCTTGAAGCATGGTTGTTCGGGCTCGCTTTCTGAGCTTGTCCAGTCCTCCGATTCGGCACTGCAGTCCCCAGCATCCTGCTCTACATTCCTCTCTTCTTTGGAATGCCTCTTCTCCATTTTCAACTTCTTCACCATGGACCAGGCCGTCATCACGTTCAGCTTCTAGCTAGAGATCTCAAACTTCTCTTTCACTTCCAAAGCTGATTGGGATTCATACTCAGTTGCATCTTGTAGGCTAATTGAAAGTGTACACAAGGCTGGAATTCATTTGTCTCGCTTGGTATGTGCTAGCATATGAAAACCCAATATTTAATCCTAAATTAAAAAAAAAACACACACAATTAGCTTTTGTCAAATTCTTCAAAAAACTTTGACTACAGTACTTATGTTTTTAAAAACAAGAGAGGCCCCCAGCCACTCAAATTCTCATTTAAATTTTTTGTTTTGTTTTCTCTTTAATAACAATTAATTGAATTTCCTTACCTCTATTTATTTATATATGTATATATATATATATAAATATGAGAACATTTGTCCATTCAAGAACTCCTCCTAAATAGTAAGAGCTAGGACCACCACATTCAGTACACAGCTTCATCTTATCAAAGCAAGGTAAGGGTTTCACCATGCCAGGAAAATGGTACGTGTCTGGAATGAATTGCTTCTTATAAAACCATACAGAAAAGACACCGAATCACCAAGCAGGTAAAATAGACTGGTTGAGGATGCCACCTGCCATACCCCATCCAGGACTGCCCCAGACCCGACTCTCTCACTGCTCAGGTGCCCTTTAGGAAGGGCGGGGGGGGCTAAAGTCCCCCACCCGATTCGTATTGGAACACTGATAGCTGTTTCCCTTCATCAGTGAGCGAGGGGAAAAGTGCATAGTATGCTGCATTCTTCACTGTCTGGGGAGTACAGGGGGCAGATGAACCTGGACTTCCCTCAGCCAGGGGACATATACCCTTCCACCCCCAGCTGTGCCCCTGGAGCTGCAGCAGCCATCTGGCCCCAAGCTGCTGCGGAGATCGGGCTTAGGATAGTCCAAACTCCCTGGGGCAGCCTGCAAAATGAACCCCTCATCCCCAGTTCCATCCCACAACAATGATTCAAATGAAGCATGTACATTTTCACATTATTTTCCAAAAAAACAAAAATGAAATGATTTAAGGACCTGAGCAATGCTGAGTAATTCAGTTTATATATAAACTTAATGGCAATAACTACTACTACACTTCCAATACAATAAATTCACAATTAAAGTAAACACACAGTCAGTTTATTGCCTGTCACAAGAGCTTTTGGGAATGAGTTGCATGGTATGTCAACACCTCTGAGCATGCATAAGCACAGAAAATGACTGTCCATTATTTTTATTAATGAGTTCTTTACATATCTGCACCATCGCTAGCTCAGAAAACTAGGTAGGGGTATGAGGAACATAAATTTTAACTTAGGACTTATCTACATAATGGGGCAATATGTCACTATTGGGGTGTGATTTCCAAAGTGCACTAATGTATTGCTCACTAGAATTTCCCTAGTGGACTTTAACATAGTACGGTTTTTCAAACTGCACTACATTAAAGCACATTAGTGAAGGGAAATTACTTACCATGTAGAGTAACTGGAGTTCTTCGAGCCATGAGGTACATATGCCTCGTAGTAGAAATAGGACTCTCTTTGGCCTGCAATATTTGTAGGATGTACATGTGCTCTTCAGTCCTCATGCTTCTCTGCAATCATTTGAGTCCTTCTCAACGCAGAATCCCTTATAACAGGGCTCTGAGATAGAGGATAGGGCAGGTTGCAGAATACATATTTTGACAATGCATCTCAAACTCCAGTTATTATACATGATAAGTAACTTTTCTTTCTCCTTTGAGTGATTGTTTATATGCACATTCTACTGATGGTGATTCCCAAGCAGTGATCAAATTCAGGTGGTAGAAGCTTGGAGCAGTTAACAAAATAATGATTGAAATGTAGTGTTGGATTTAGAAGTTTCCATTTGAACATAATATCAAATGAATATGTGAACTCACAGACAAGAAATAGCTTTACAAATGTTAGATATAAAGTGTTTCAGTGATGCTGCTGATGCAACGTACACTCTTGGGCTACGTCTAGACTGCAAGCCTCTTTCGAAAGAGGCTTTTTCGAAAGATACTTTCAAAAAAGACTCTTTCAAAAAAAAGCGTCTAGACTGCAAGCAATACTTTCGAAAAAGCAAGACTCTTTTTCGAAAGAAAGCACCCAGGCAGTCTGGATGCTCTCTTTCGAAAAAGCCCTGTTTGCATTCAAGAACGCCTTTTTTCGAAAGAGCACTTTCGAAAAAAGGCGTTCTTCCTCGTGAAATGAGGTTTTCCGTCGTCGAAAGAAAAGCCGTGTTCTTTCGATTTAATTTCGAAAGAACGCGGCTGTAGTCTAGACACAGGTGAAGTTTTTTCGAAAAAAGGCTACTTTTTTCGAAAAAACACTTGAGTCTGGACACAGCCTTGGTGAAGGGGTCCAGATCATAGCTGGTATCTCTACCTTGGCCACCTCAACACATTTTAATACAATGAGGGTACATCTAGACTGCAAGCTTCTTTTGAAAGAAGCTTTTTCGGAGAAGATCTTCTGAAAAAACTTCTTTAGAAAGAGAGCATCCACACAGCAAAAGTGCATCGAAAAAGCGATATGCTTTTTCGAAAGACAGCATCCATTCAGTGTGGATGCTATCTCACATTTAAGCTGTGATTACTATGAACGGAGTGGTCACCAGGGCACCTGTGCTTTTACTTAGAGGCCTCTTCTTTTGAAAAAATTTTCTCTTCCGCATCCACACACGCCTTTTTCCAAAAGAGCTCTTTCGGAAAAGGCATTCTTCCTCGTAGAATGAGATTTACCAATGTCAGAAAACCCCTTGCATTATTTTGATTTTTTTTCTCTCGAAAGAATGCAATAGCAGTGTGGATGTAAGTCAAGTTTTTTCAGAAAACCAGCAATTTTTCAAGAAAAATCCCTGTAGTCTAGGCGCAACCTTGGAAATCCTTTTACAATGTCTTTGGACTGAAACTGCAGAGCCCTTCATTCTTCCCTCAGTGAAGACAAACAAGTTTGGCAATGATCTATACGGTTTCATTCTATCAGGTAGTAGGTGCGCCTCACATCTAATATATGCAAGATTGCCATAGATTTGGATACATAAAATTTTTGAAAGAATTCTCGTAGATATATCAGTTGACTGAGCTGGAAGATTGTGACTACTTTAGGAAGGAATTTAGGATGTATCTTATCTGGGCAGAATACTGAGTAGGGAGGGTCAGTCATAAATATTCAAATCTTGCCCACTCTTTTGGTCAAAATTATCACAACCAAAAATCCATTTTCACTGACGGGGTAGTAGAGAAGAGGTTAACAGGGGCTTGGAGAGGAGTCCCATGAGTGCTGTAGATTGCAGGTCCCATTAGTTCTTTGATAAGCAGGAATACTTTATTTAGGACACTCTGGAACTTTACCATGGTTGCATGTTCCTGAATCAGTACGTAACGAGCTGAGATCATCACCAGGTGTGCCATGCTCACGGTGGATAATTGATTATAAAAAAATAGACTGTTTATTTTTTTTAAATCATCATAAATAAAATATTAAATTTCTCATTTAAAAATAACAGTTACAATTAAATCTTATCACAAACGAACTATTTCTACACGTACAGTCTCATAAACATGAATTAATGGCTGTAGTCTGTTCAGCCTAACAACTAGCTATTGTTCCTTGAAAGTTCTGGGCTTTCAATTTCTGTTAGTCTTGCTGAGATACATGTGCAAAAAGAGACAAAGTTTTGGATTTTCAATTTCTAAGCCAAGCCAAGTCTACACTAAACAGAAGATCGGAACTGCCATGATCAATCTTCCAGAGATCTATTTAGCACATCTAGTTAAGACTTGCTAACTCAAATTCAGAGGGCACCTCCCACTGGCTGCCATTACTCCTGCTTGTGCAAGGAGTAAGAGACAGCAACAGGAGCATTTCCCCATTCCCTGTAGGGATGGAGGGGAAACATGAAATAAGATACGTCAACTCCAGCTACATAATAAACATAGATGGTGTTGCATATCTTGCTTTGACGTTCCCTGTGACTGTAGACCTGTGTTTAATCTGCTGAGAAACATGTACAAAGACATACACAGTCTGGACAGATTTGTTTTTGTTCTGTGCTTATATGGTGGTAAATCTAGGCCAAGCATGGCAGAGTTAGTTAAGACACTGTTTAAAGACAAAGAAACAATATAAAGTAAAGAGGAAGAAAGGAACATTGGAGTGGACTAGAAAGCAAAAGGGAAGACATTATTCAGCACACACACAGCTTCCTATATTCCCCTACATTTTTACCACAGAAAAACTGTCATGGCTTCTGGGTGTAAAAGGCTACCATTCTTTCAGAATAAGCTATTTTGGAATAGTTATTCCGAAGTGTTCGTAACTCGGATCCCACAGAGTTACATGACGACCATGCTGTTCGTAAGTGCAGATCGCCGTTCGTAACTCGGATCTGCATTTACGACCACTTTTGTCGTAAGTGCAGATGGTTGTCAGTGGAGGTGGTCATAACTCGGGGAGCGACTGTAGTCTGAGACAGGCTTCCCTAATATAGATGTGCTATCTTGATTTAGAACCCCAAAAGAAATAACTTAGAATGACTATGGTGAGGGGCTATTTCGAAATAGCCGAAGTGGAGTGTCTTCACACACCTTATTTCGCAATAGCTATTTCGGAATCGGTGCTATTCTTCATAGAATGTGATTTACAGAAGTAGGAATGAGCTGGCCCTTTCAGTTCTAGTATTCTATGATATGTCTGGTGTGTCTTGGTCTTAGAGGAGAAGCTGAAACACCAAAAAAGATATTAGATTTGACTGGATTTTTTTGTCAAGAACATTAATGCCATTTAAAGGAAATTTACATCTCTTTCATGTTCCTTACTTCACTCACTTTCATGTATCTTTCATCCCTTTAGAATGGGAGCAGGGATTAAAAGAAGGAAAAAATATCCAGGGAACATATAAGAACACAACCAAGTAAGTGAATTATTTATCCAGAAGAGCATCTCTCATATATAATTTGCCTTTAGAAACTTTTTAAAGCAGTTTCCTCCTCTCCCAAGAGGCCAAAGTGGCTATTATGTAGTGTCTGTGGTCTAACCTCAGAAAGCAATATTAGAATTATTCCCCTGATGTAAAATGATTGTTTCTAAATCTGCTGGCTAAAAATAAGTATCAGGGTCTTTCTTGAAAAAATTACTGCACATTCAACATAATTAGAATCAAAATAGTGTCTGACACTAACTTCTTTTTTTATTTTGAAGCTAAAAAGTACTGAAACTAGATTTTCATCCTAAAATGTACCACAAACCTGCCTGTAGCTAGGGGTGGGCAATAATTTTTGGTGGGGGTGTACTCCAAGATTTTGGAAAGTGATCAAGGGCCACATATTTCTGTGGAGAGGGGGCAGGGTCTAGGATAGAGGTTGAGCTCAGATGGGTGCATGGAGTAAGGGACTGGAGTGCAAAAGACGGTGTGAGGTCTGCAAGAAAGTTTGGGCAAAGGAGGGGGTTGTGACCTGGGTCAGGGGTTTGGGGTGTAGGGTTAGGGAGGGAATGTGGGTGCTGGAGAGGATTCTGGCCTGGGTGAGAGTGGCTAGGAGAGGGTGCAAAGTCCGGGAGGGAGCTGTAACCTGGGAGAAGGGGAAAAGGGGATGCAGATTGCAGAGGGTGTGGATGGTGACTTGGGGCAGCAGAATAGGGTGCTGGGTATGGGAGGGTGTTTGGGTGCAGGATAAGATTCTGATGGAGGGGTGCTTGAGGGGGTATAGGGTCTGGAAGGGTGTTGTGACCTGGGGCAGAGGGGTGCAGAGGGTTTGGATGGTGACCTGGGGGAGGGAGTTGGGCTGTGGGAGAAGCAAGGTGCCAGAGGCAGGTTCTGGCTGGGAGGCGCTTACCTAAGCCAGCAGCCCTGCAACTCCCCAAGGCAGGCTGGGCTCCCTGACTGTGCAGGCCCGCTTGAATCTGCAGGCTGCTCCCCCCCTCCAGGCCACTCACCCTGGTGGTTCATAGCCAATAGGAGCTGAGAGATTGGCTGTGGTCCGTTCCTATTGGCCAGTAATTTCTGGCCAATGGGAGCTAAGGATTGGGCTGGGGGCGGGGAGATCACACAAAGCTTCCCCTTCCCTGTAGAGAAGAGAGCTGCATGGACTGTGCTTTAAACGGTGCAGCTGTGTGCCTGAGGATCCCCCCCAGGGTGGTCCGCGGGTTGGATCCAGTGGTTTGGAGGACCTGCGAGCCTGTCTTAGCCCCAATGTACCACCACCCAGGAGCCACCTGAGATAAGCAGCGCCCAGCTGGAGCCAGCTCCGAATCTCCGCCCCAGACATGAACCCTTCCTGCATCCCAAGCCCCTGCCCTAGCCTTGAGCCCCTGAACCCAAACTCCCCTACAGAGCCTGTACCCTAAACCCCCTCCTACACCCCAACTCCTTGTCCCAGGCTTAGCTCAGAGCCCCTCTCACTCTAAATCCCTTAGCCCAAATACCAGATCTTGTGCCCCCACCCTCTGCCCCAGCCCGGTGAAAAGGAGGGAGGATGAGGGAGGGAGGGAAGCCGGAGTGAGCAGAGGCAGGGCCTCGGAGAAGGGGCGGGAAGGATGTGGGGCAAGGCTATTTGGGTTTGAGGTAGATCCTGGATTGTATTTAAATTCAAAAAGTGATTTTGTGCTTTAAAAAGTTGGAGACCACTGATTTACATCATTATCCTCTCCACTGAAGTGCAACTATTTTTGTGAAAGAATCTACCACATTTTTGAGAAATCCCTCATGGGCAACCTGAGGCTTCTAGCTCTCTGCAGTCTGACTGAGAATGAAGCTGTTACCATGGTTGTCATTTGAATTGGCACTCTTGAAGGTAAAGAGTCCTTGTATAGACTGGCTCAGAAGGTCCCTTGGGAACGGTGTGGGAAAGAGAGGGGAGCAGTCTAGAGAGCCCGGTTCAGAAGCAGGTCTCATTGACTTGGTCATTAGGAAAACCTGAAGGCAGGTTTCCCTTTCTTTCCTAGTTTAGGAACTGATAGATTTACAAATCACACATTCACTAGGAATATGCAATTATCCCAGACTGTAGAGGCACTTTGAGTAGCCATCTGAAGCTGTGAGAGTATCCTTGCATGAGGGGCACTGTTTAAACCTTGATGAACCAAATAAGATCTAAAAGTTGCACCAGGCAACTGAATTACTAAAAGCTATGACTATTACTATACTCTAATTGTAGAATTATTTAGTAAGGCTATCAAGAAAGCTGATGTTTCTTGAACTGTTGGGATCTCTCTCTCTGTCATGTGTAAGTGAGAAGAAATGAATAGTGGCAGGTACACTTCGCCCTTATATACCTTCAGCGAGAAGCAAGAGGACATGTGTATCTGATGAGTACTGATAGCGGAAAAATCTCCCATCTTTGTCATATGACATGCCCTGATATGTGTGGGGAGCTGCCTTGAAAGCCGACTTCCTGCATGTATGGACTCCCTGCTGCCCCCCCTCACCCTCCATGCTGTTGCCCCTCTATCAGAGGCACCAGCACATGCGGGGTGGGAGGGCAGGCGGCTCTGCAGGATCCAGTGTTCATGGGAAGCCAGCTTAAAAGCCAGGCACCAGCTCCTACCTCCCCACCTTGCTGTCTTTGGTACAGAGGCAGCAAGGGGGGGAGTGCATATAGTTGATAGGATTAACCAATAAGCCTGTCGTTTAGTCGACTACATGTTGACATCTCTAAGGGGAAGTAAGTAGGACTCTGAGTGTCGCTATTTCTGTGTTACTGCAAATGTAGTCTGTCATAAGCTCCTGAAGGGAAACTGACAGGCACTAAACCCAGTTGGGCCTGTTGTATTATCATGATTGGGAACAGGGGCTGCAGCCTGTGTAAAGTGGCTAGAGTACAAGGTTGCACTCAAAGTAAGATACGGGAAACCAGGTCTGTAATCTGATGGGTGCACCCAATAAGAGAAAAGAATTTGTGAAAGAACAAAAAGGTCAGCACACATCTACCTTACTTCCTAGACAGACCTATCTTACCTCACATCTCAAAACTTTGGGGGCCTTGGTCTCTCTCTGTTTCCCAAAAGTAATTATCCCAGAGAGATAGAATTACTTTTTTATCCAACCAGTTCAGATAGACCAAAAACTATTTGGTGGGCTCCACAGGAGATCAAGTCAATCTCTTCCAGGCAAATGCCATCCCCCATTGTTTCATAACAATCCCAAGTGTTTGTTGAAGGAGGTCATATTTTGAGTCATTTTTGCATTCCTACTCATTTTTTCAACAGCTTGCTATTCAAATAAAAACCAATATATTCACAGTAAATCCCTTATAAGAAATATAAAAAACATTACAAAGCAATCCAAATCAGTCACATTATGTATCAAAATATTTTTCATTAACTTTAGTTTCCTTACTCCTTGGAAAATTTTATTTACAATCTTTCCTTATAAAACACTTTCCTCCCCCCATCATGTGCCAATAGTGATGTGCTGCTGTAGAATTCCACATGAACAAGAGGAATCTGGCATTTTAAAAGAGCTTTAAATCATGTCTTGACAGAATAGCTATACATTTAAAGAATTACTTGAACTTTGCAAATTTAGAGAAGAAAAAATAAAAGGAGGCCAAATTCAGAACCAATCAACCTAGAAATGAGGTATTGTTAAATGATAAATAAGAATCACATCCTAAATACTATAAGTTACTGTAGAAACTTACTCTAATTAATATATATCTCTCACACACCCATTTCCATTCCAAACATAGTAGTATTTCAGTATTTCCACTTGTTTTTCTTTAACATACACTCAAAGCATATCCCCAATCTTGTATGTATGCTCTTACGTAAGTATGGAAACTCCTTAGGTTTTGTGGAATTCACTTCCTCTAGTGTAGTTGCATACAAGTTAAAAATCATTAGCCACTAGATAAATGAATTGTTTAAATGAAATTTCGTTAAGTAATCTGTTTAAACTAGAAGCTTAATCTAATTAAATTATATGAGAAACATACAATATTTTAAAACAGAAGAAACTGCATCCCTTCTCTTAATCCTCATATAGACTAAGTCTACACAACAGCTGGGAGTGCGCTTCCCAATGTGGACATAAAGACTTGCACTAGCTCTGCTTGTGCTAAGGATGTGAAGGACTAGTCGACTATCTGATAAACAAATGCTTATTGGATAGTCAAGAGGATAGTCAACTAGTTGCTTCCGGCCCCCTTGCTGCCTCTATCAGATAGAGGCAGCAAGGATGGGGGGAGGAAGAAGAGGGGGTACTTCAAAGCCGCAGCGCCGCTTGAAGCCTAGGGCCAGACCCCGGGCTACAAGCTGCATGCAGCCCTGGGGCAAGCTGGGGTATCCCCAGGCTGTACATAGCGTTTCAAAGCAGTAGTGCCACATGGAGTCTGGGATCGAACCTGGGCTCTGTGCAGTGCTGCCACTTTGAAATGCCTCGGGGAGCCTGGTGTCGGGCTGCTAATGTCCTTTCAAAGTGGCAGTGCTGCACTGAGCCCAGGATCAGCCAGAACTCCCCAGCTGACCCCAGGCTCCATGCGGCACTGCCGCTTTGAAACACCGCGGAGAGCCCAGCACCAGGCTCCTTACGGCATTTCAAAGCACCAGTGCCACATGGAACCCAGGATCAGCTGGGGACTCCATGCATCGCTGCCACTCTGAAATGCCGTGGCTGACCCCAGGCTCCACACGGCACTTTCGCCTTTGAAGTGTAGCAATAGCCCTAGTGCTGTTGCTAAACTTCAAAGGCAGAGGTGCCCTATCGACTAACTGAATAGTCAATGCAAAATGCATCGACTGTTTGATTAGTCAATTACCCAATACTTAACATCCTTAGTTTGAGCAAGACCACTAAAAATAGTAGGTTGGCAACACATCCATGGGCTGGGTAAGGATTGTACTCTACCAGCTAACTTTAACTGTGCCCTGTGTCACTGCTGCCAGACTGTTATTTTTAGTTTGTTAAAAACAGCAGTGCTAGTGTGCATCTACCTGCGCTGAGAAGCACCCTCCCAGCTGCAATGGTTTCTACTCAAAAACAATACCACAAAAACGCAGCTATATAAAATGTATAGCTATATTTTGCAAAATATAATCTCTGAATAAAAAAAGAGCACTTTCCTTGCATATAATCTTTTTCTCTGCTATTACTATTTTGTATAGTGAACAGCTCAAAGACAAAGAGTTTCTGTCTCTATTCACAAAGTCTTGGCTTACCGAAAACATAGCAGTCACTCTAAGGATGTTTTTTTAGACAGCATAACTGTAAGCAACTCTACTGACTCAAAATTTAGAGCCAGGTTTAAAACTGTAATGAAATACCTTTGAGAATTATTATGCTACTACTCCTTCCTTCCACATTTAGGACTTTAAAAAAAAATGAAAATCCCAACTGAACTGGAAAAATCAAGTTTGCTCTCAAAATATAGTTTATTTTTTACTAAAAAAAAATACTATCCATATGAAATGTTACTATGATCGCTCTCATATGCACACACAAAATGTGCTTTCATATCTTTAATTCATTCATACTTTCCTAATTCCACAATAT